TGAGCCGAGATCACGCCACTGTACTCCAGCCTGGGTGATAGAGCCAGACTCTGTCTCAAAACAAACAAACAAAACCCAATAGCTCTTATGTGTGGGTCTACTTCTGGATTCAATACACTGTTGTTTTTTCTTACGTCGGCATCCTACTGTCTTTTCTCCCTTTTTTTGAGATGGAGTCTTGCTCTGTCACCTAGGCTAGAGTGCAGTGGCTCAATCTTGGCTCACTGCAATCTCTACCTTGAAGTTAAAGCAATTCTCCTTTCTTAGTCTCCTGAGTAGCTGTGATTACAGGTGTGCACCACCATGTCCGGCAAATTATGTATTTTTAGTAGAGATGGGGTTTTGCCATGTTGGCCAGGCTGGTCTCAAACTCCTGTCCTCAAGTGATCTGTCCACCTCGTCCTCCCAAAACGCTGGGATTACAGGTGTGAGCCACCATGCCCAGCCAGTACCCTAATGTCTTGATTAGTCTAGCTTTATAGTAGGCCTAAAAATCAGATAGCAACAGCCTTCCAACTTTTTCTTTTTAAGATTATTTTTGCTCTTCTAGATTATTTTCGTTTCCATATAACGTTTAAAATCAGCTTGTTAATTTCTACAGCAAGGCTGACATGAATTTTGCCCATGTCTACTTTGACATGAGGATTGAATGATGACCCTCAAAAATATCTGTCTGTATCCCAATCTCTCGAATCTCAGAATGTAACCTGTGTTGAATAAAAGTCTTTGCAGATGCGACTGAGTTGAAATGAGGGGACCACCCTGAGTTATTTCGGTGGCTTCTAAGTACAGTGACATCTATCCCTGTAAGACAGACACACGCAGGAGAAGGCACATGACACGCACAGAGAAGGCCTTGTGAAGACGGAGGCAGAGATTGACTGGCATGCTGTGGCTGCAAGCCAAGGAAGCTGAGGAAGCCAGGGAATGCCAACCGCCACCAAAAGCTGGGCGCAGCGAAGAAGGAATCTCCACTACAGCCACTAGAGGGCGCAAGCGGCCTTTGCTAATATCTTGGTTTCGGACTTCTGGCCTCTAGGACTCAGAAAATACATTTCATGTTTTATGCCACCAGTTTGTGGTAGTTTGTTATGGCAGCTATAGGAAAAAATACAGCCACTATCAGGTTAAGGAAGTTCCATGCCATTCCTAGTTGTCGTTATTTCAGGAAGGGGTGTAGCTGTCAAATGCTCCTTTTGCGTCAATTGAAAATAACATTCCCCCCTCATTATTTTGTTAATGTGGGCATAACCTGTGACTGCCTGCTCACGTGGTATTAATTGTAACCCCACCGTCGCTGTTACCCCTCGTAACACCTGTTCCTGAAACTGCTGGGTCTTGACACATTGTATCAACTTACAGATGTGTCAGCATGAATTTTCTTGTTCTGCATTTGCTAAGGAAATTTTAAGAAGTCATTCAAGAGCGTGCCGAACAAAATGGAGTCTCCAAATATTTAGAAAAAAAGTGTGATTATAGAATTCGTCCCAAGGGGTTCTCTGCACAACAGGGACTACACTGGAAACCCTTGGAGAAATAATTTGACCTGGAGAAATCCTTCATGTGGCCTCTGCCATGTTTCCAAAAGTAGGAGATTTTACATTAAAATGCTAGATAGCATACTGCCCTTGAAAATGCTGCAGATGTGGCAACCTTGCCCTGAATTCCAACATGACAGCCACTATCTGCCCCTTACACAAATGTCCTTTTCACTTTATCACAGTCCCATTTTTCCTTGTCGTTTTAAACTTTGTAGACATCTGAGTTTGCAAACCGTCCTCTGGAACCTTGGCTGGGCGTGTTGTAATGCCAAAGCATGTGACATTGAGGGAAAGCTTAGGGGAAAACAGTATCACAGCTACACGGTCAACACAGTCATGTTCAAAGAGACCACTGTGGAAGTAACCTAAAGATAAAAAAGGATTTCATATAATTCATTACCAGTGAGAAAGACGCTTGACTGACTTCTAGATAAAGATGGCACAAGGAAGTACTAAAAAATCAAAATTAAAGCACTAAATTAGCCAGCCGTGGTGGCTCACACCTGAAATCCCAATACTTTGGGAGTCTGAGGCGTGTGGATCACTGGAGGTCAGGAGTTCGAGACCAGTCTGGCCAACATGGTGAACTGCACTCCACCGCTCTCACACTAGCCTCTACTAAAAATACAAAAATTAGCTGGGCATGGTGGCACATGCCTGTAGTCCTAGCTACTCAGGAGGCTGAGACAAGAGAATTGCTTGAACCTGGGAGGCAGAGGTTGTGGTGAGCCAAGATTACGCCACTGCACTCCAGCCTGGATGACAGAGTGAGACAATGTCTCAAAAACAAAACACTAAATCACCCAAAGGAAAAAAAAAGCAACAAAAAACTTAAATGCTGCTACCAAAGAAAGAAAAAAGTGCACACTTATAAAGTAAAATTTGAGGATTGATGGCAAGAACAAAAAGAACAGAAGACTTTTTGGAAGCATGCTTTGCCTCTATATCAGGCGTCCCCAAACTTTTTACACAGGGGGCCAGTTCACTGTCCCTCAGACCGTTGGAGGGCTGCCACATACTGTGCTCTTCTCACTGACCACCAGTGAAAGAGGTGCCCCTTCCTGAAGTGCAGCAGAGGGCCGGATAAATGGCCTCATGGGGCTGCATGTGGCCCGCTGGCCGTAGTTTGGGGACGCCTGCTCTAGATGAACCCGTGTCTGCCCAGACCTCCACCCACCACTGCAAGACACGTTGCGGGAAAAGATGATCAGACCAAATCCTGAGAATTCTCACAAATATCCTCCAATGTGGAAAGGCAGTGGCACACTTGTGAAATGTTAAGGAACCTTTGCATACCACTGTTGGATCTTGCCAGAGGCAGGAAAATTTGCCATCTTCTGGGGTGCTGTGCTGAAATGAGCAAATGAACCAAGCTCTGAGGCATGGGACATTCCCTTGGCTGGCTTGAAGGCCAGCTGCCAGAGGACTTAAAGGAATCTCAGTTGTGAAGGTCGAGTTACCCCAACAAGCTTTATGCTCTGTCTGAGCTGAGTTCCACACGCCTCCTTTCCCCGGACCTCTCCTTGTCTGAAAAACTTCAATTCACAGAAAAAGTAGATAGAAACAACTCTCAGCCCTGAAAATGCAGCTTATTCAGATATAGAATACGAATGGGATATTAGAAAAAAAGAACAGAATCTATACACTGGAAAATCATACTGCATGCTGAGGAGAAAAATTGATCTAGAGTAACTGACACAGAGACATAGCCCAGATAAGAATATTAAAGGGTACATTAATGATAAAGAATTCTTCAGGCATCCAATCAGAAAAATCCATGAGCATAGAATATTTTTCCAACTGTTTGTGTCCTCTCTTATTTCCTTGAGCAGTGGTTTGTAGTTCTCCTTAAAGAGGTCCTTCACATGCCTTGTAAGTTGTATTCCTAGGTATTTTAATGTCTTTGTAGCAATTGTGAATGGGAGTTCACTCTTGATTTGGCTTTCTGTTAGTCTATTATTGGTGTATAGGAATGCTTGTGATTTTTGTACATTGATTTTATATCCTGAGACTTTGCTGAAGTTGGTTATCAGATACCATCTCACACCAGTTAGAATAGTAATCTTAAAAAGTCAGGCAACAGATGCTGGAGAGGATGTGAAGAAATGGGCACACTTTGACACAGTTGGTGGGAGTGTAAATTAGTTCAACCATTGTGGAAGACAGTGTGGCAATTCCTCAAGGATCTAGAATCAGAAATACCATTTGACCCAGCAATCACATTACTGGGTATATACCCAAAGGATTATAAATCATTCTAATATAAAGACACATGCACACATATGTTTATTGCAGCACTATTCACAATAGCAAGGACTTGGAACCAATCAAAATGCCCATCAATGATAGACTGGACAAGGAAAATGTGGCACATATACACCATGGAATATTATGCAGCCATTAAAAAGGATGAGTTCATATCCTTTGCAGGTACATGGATGAAGGTAGAAACCATCATTCTCAGCAAACTAACACAGGAACAGAAAACAAAGCACTACATGTTCTAACTCATAAGTAGGAGTTAAACAATGAAAACCTATGGACACAGGGAGGGGGAACGTCACACACCAGGGTCTGGAGTGGGTGGGGGACTAAGGGAGAGACAGCATTAGGAGAAATACCTAATGTGGGTGATGGGTTGATGGGTGCAGCAAACCTCCATGGCACGTGTATACCTATATAACAAACCTGTATGTTCTGCACATGTACCCCAGAACTTAAAGTATAACAATAAAAAAAATCAGTGAAGCAATTCCCATCTTGTTGTGTTAGGTTTTGAAGGAAGGTGTGGATTCAAAATATTTACCCAGCTCAGTTTTTATTTATGTAGAGAGAAAAAAAAAACAGATCTTCTCAAACATGGCAGCACTCTGTGAACCCTGGTTGGGAATATGACTTGAAAAAGAAAAAAGTCCATCAAGAACTTTAAATAAAAATAAAAATTCATGGATGGACAAATGACAGTAAATATCCTATTCATTTAAAGATAGAATTAAGACAACATCTGGAAAAATAAAAGTTGCAGAGCAATTGCAAATGTTCTCATGGCTAGTACGCCAAATGTAATAGAAGTAATGGAAATTGAGAGGCAGGGGGTGAAAGTCGGTGGAGGTGCATGATGCTAATTAACCTCATCTTTCAGAGCTGTGAGCCTGTCTAAACTTGAAACATGTAGTGAACTCCTTACACCTCTCAACCTTTTTACGTTATGTTTATAGGCCTTTAAAAAAGCTCATCTTGCAGGGAAGCAAGCAAAAGAGATTCCCTTCTGTATTTTTCGGAAATTCCAATAACACTGAAAAATCTGAAATTATATGAAGCAGACACAGTATGATCCCATAATCATAAAATTACTTGTGTCTCCGTTTTCTGCGTCTTCGTTTCTTCAGCTGCGCAACGGGTGTTTCTCCCCGCGCTGCCGTGAGGATTACACGTATTTACCTGCGAAGTGCTTAGGACAGTGCGTGGCGCACGGTCAGTGCTCCAGTTTGCGGCAGCCGGACTTGGGCGCCGCCAGCACAGGGGTAGGTGAGTTTGGCCTATGGCCGCGTCCCCGCATCTGGGGCGTTTCTCGTGTGTGTGCCTGGGCTGGGGCGGCCCATCCTGGCGGAGACTCCGGCGGGCAGGCTCCGCCGCGGCCCCAGGCTGGCTCGGGTCTACCTGCGCCAGCGCCGTACCTGGGCGACCTTGGCTTTGGTGACCCGGCCGGCCGGGCCTGTGGGTGCCGCTCCGCTCCCCCCGCGCCGGCCGCCGACCCCCAGCTCCCCGGCGGGGCCTCCTCCTGCCACGTGACGCCCCCGCGAGGGGCCCCAGCGCCCTCCTCAAGGCCGCGCCGTTCCGGCTCCCCGCCCCGCCCGCGCGCGGCCTCCTCGTTGCAGCCGTCCTCTTGGCTGCCGCGGGCGGCAAAGCCCACGGCATCTGCCATTTGTCACTCAGCCCGTCGGTACCGCCCCAAGCCTTGATTTAGACACGGCCGGGGCGTGCTCTGGACTCACTCGCGCAGCGGGCGCTGGACGGACGGACTGGGCAGCCCAGCTCGCAGCCCAGCAGCAGCGCGGGGCCTTGGCGCGCGGGGCGCTTCCCCGGGTCCGTCATGGCCGCGGAGGCAGCGCGCTGGAACGGTCTCGCCTGAGCTCCAGGGGTCGTCGCCCGCAGGGTAGGTGGCCCGGTGCTCGCGGCCGCGGCGGGCGGGCAGGGGGCGGCGGTGGCCGAGCATTGCCGCGCGGCGCTGCGAGGACGGTGCTGGCTCGCGGCCGCGGGGAGGGTGTGCCTTTGCCGCGCTGCCTACGTGCGGGTCCGGGCTGCGCGGGGCCGGATACGGGACCCCGCAGATCGTCACCCGCAACCCAGAGCGTCCCACCTCGAGTCCCGCCGCCCCCCGGTACGCCGCCGCCGGAGGGTTCGCGCGTGTCTGGTACGGGGTCCGTAGACCCGGTTCTTACAACCTGGCGCTCTAGCCTCGCCAACGGGCCGGGGAAAAAAAACAGAACAAGGAAAAGAAGCAAAAGTCTGTTGAAAGTAATAGTGGGACTAGACGGTAACTGTTTGCACTTTCGTCTATTATGGAAAATATGATTATTTTGATGCTCTAGTATTATCGACTGTAATCAGACATACTCTTAAAAGTATTTTAAAATGTGGGCTCCTAAACATTTCCTAGATCGGGACAGCAGATGATGCAACTTCGGTTACTCTCCGCGTCCAACTTTCAGGGCGGAGTGGGGGTTTCTACCATTTACTGAATGTACTCCTGTATTTTGAATATTTTGTTTTCATAAAATGTGTTACTTTCATGTTTCAGGAAACCAATAAAAATAAAAAAATAGAAACACCCAGCTTAGGTCCTCCTTCTTCCAGGAATCCTCTAACCCCTCCCTCCCAGGCAGGATCGGAGGCCCCTCTCGGGTGCTTTCTGGGGCCCCACTGAGGTCCTGGTCCCCACAGTCCTCTCGCGTAGCCTCTCCACGTATTAACCCATCGGCCTCGCTGGGCCCAGAGGTTGCTCACTTAGCACATGGTAAGTGATTAATATTGTTTAATGACCGAGGGAAAAGATAAAATGTTCTCTGATGTTTCACCCTTTTCGCTCTGAAGTTGAATAGTGGTAAATTTATATATGCTTAGATAAGAACATTTAACAGTTAAGGATCTGGAAAAGTTGGCGACGTCCGATATCCGTGTTTCCTGATCCAGCAGTCGCAAGTCTGGGTGTTCATCGTTTAGAACAATGTTTTTCAGAACTTGAAGTTCATTTTAATGGGTCGTAAAGTCATTTAAGTGGATGATCAGAATTTGTAAAACACAGACGGAGAATCGAACATCAGGGTCTCTCAGGTCATGGGGTGTTTTCTTTATGAATCTCTCCCCCTCTCCTCAGTTTCATACATACACAAATGTGTGTCATGATGTAAAACGTCATTCTTTAGTATGAGTCATGGTCAAAAAAGTTTGAAAGCCACTGCCCTAGATACATTTTCATACATGCCCACAAACAGACATATACAAGAAGGTTGACTGTAAAACCAGAAAAGTGGAAGCCGCCATCATGCCCACCTGAAGGAGAAAGAGACGTGATACACCAGTCATAAAAAGGGCACACTGTACAGTGGCCAACGAAGTATTTTTGTGTTTAAACACAAATGCCTTTCAGTGTTGAACCAAAAAAAAAAAAAAAAGTTGCTGAAGAATGCGATGTGATATCATCTATGTAAAATTCAGAACATGGTGGAGCAAAGCTCTTGTTTAGGAATGCACATACAGGCATTAAAAGTAGTAAAGAAAAAAGCTCAAGCTAATGGTCATCTGGCAGCGATGAGAAGGTCAACGGCTCGGAGATGCTAGAAATGCTTTATCGCTTGACCTGGGCAATGGTTACATGGGTGTTTACTTTGTAACTCTTTGTTAAATGATACACACTAGGTTAGAATGTCATATTTCCCCCCAAATATTAAAATATGGGTGTCACAAAATGAAGAAGCCTGAGGCTAGAGCTCTACGTCCGTTATTCATATTTCCTGGCTTCTTTTTATAAAAGAAAAAAAAAAATCTTGCTCAGGGAGGCGTACCTAGGGAACTTGTCGGTAATGTTTTATTTCATAAATTCCATGGTGGACATAACAGAATTTGTTAAATTATTCTTTATATATTCTTATAACTTAATTTATTATGTTTCAAAAAGTATTTAGAAGAAAATATCATTTGGTGTGTTTGAATTCCCAAAAGTCACATTTACATATTTTGTACACAACCAGAATAATTTATATAGTAATTTAAGCTAAAATCAAATTCTGTTGCAAAAAGTGAAACACTAAAAAGTATATTAAAAAATCATAGAACTTTACAGACTTTCAGGGTTTTCAAATGCTAACATGCTGTATTTGCCTCAATAATTTTTGTTCCTCCATTCTTCTAGGCCACGTTTCTAGTGCTCAGTAGCCACATACGACTTTTATATTTTACCATGTTATATATTTTACATTATACCATATCATACAACAGAATGTTTCCATCACTGCAGAAATTTCTATTGGAAATCATTCTGAATGTAAATATTTGTTGGTTATGTACTTGCAGATAGTAAACTGTGGACATTAATCTTTGTGCTTTTTGTTTTAAGATATACCTCTACTATTAATGAAATATATTCTGAATATTTTTCTACAATTTTTTGTTTTGTCCACATTTCATTCTTTAAGTTACCTGAGATACGTACATGTTTAGATGTATATATTTTGTTTATGTTGTGAAATCGAGCTCAATTCATTTTCAGATTCCCATGTGAAAAGCTAATTGTCTCAATAGCAGTGATTAGCAGTGCCACTTCTGTCACATACAGTACCCAGATATGCTTGGGCTTATTTCCAGGCTCTTTATCCTGGTTTATTCCTCATCTGAAAATACTGCAGATCTTCATTTACTGTTGCTTTGTATGTAATACATTGTTCAGTTCTAAGAATTCAAAATGTTTTCATTGTGATATTTTTTTCCTTCCCCTAAGAGATTTGTAGAAAGTAGTCTAGTTCCAACGTGGAGGGTTTTGTGAGTTATCCTTTTGTTACTGATTTCTCATTTGCACTGTAGTCAGCATACATGTCAATGCTACCAATTCTGTGAAATTCTAGAATTGCTTTACGGTTTTAACTGTTCCTTGTATCATCAAGAATAATTTGTACTCAGAGACTTTCGGGGCAAGGTATATAGGTGTGTGTATATGTGTAATATATATACATACATACACTTTATATATAGATTATATGTATAATCTCGCTGTAGAGTTTATGTAGAAATTAAATATATTCATATAAATTTATATATATAAATAAAATATCCTCTCTAAGGTTTATGTTTCATCAATTCAGGAAAATTTTATCTTTATTTCTTTGTTTTCACCCATTTTTGTCCTATTTTTTCCTTTAGGAGTTACGATTAGACTTCTGTTAGACTTCCTTACTCTATCACCCACATCTTTTTAAGGTAGGTTTAATGTATTTAATATATATTTTTTATCCATATTGAAGTCTAGATAATTGTTTTAGTTCTATATTCTGATCTTTGTATAATTCTCATTTTTTCTTTAAATGAGCTATAATTTATGTACAACAACAAAAATAAAGTGTGTAGCTTGATGAAATTTACATATGTGTTTACCTTTGTAATTACTACCTGGATAAACATATAAAACATTTTCATTCCTTCTGCCCCTTCCTGTCAGTGGAGCCACTTGCTTCCTCCAGTCAACTGTTGTCCTGATATCTATGACCATGGATTATTTTCAAGTGTTCCTAAACTTCATATAAATGGAGTCATACAGTTTATTCTTTTGTTCATATTGCATTCATCCATATTGCATATATATGTATTTTTGTTTGTTTTTATTTTTGCTTTATATCAAGGATTGGCAAACTATGGCGTATGGGCCACTTCCAACTCAATGCATGTTTTTGTGTATAAAATTTCACTGGGCTTGGTTCCATGCCTCCTGTCTATAATCCTAGCCACTCAAGAGTCTGAGGCAGGAGAATCTCTTGAGCTCAGGAGTTTGAGCTTACAGGGAGCTATAATGGCACAGCCCTGCAACCTGGGTGAAAGAGTAAGATGACCCCATCTTTAAAAAAGAAATTATTGGAACATAGCTGTGCCCATCTGGCAGAGTTGAGTAGTTGTTGCAGAGACCATATGGCCCGCAAAGCCTTAACTATTTACCACGTGACCATTTACAGAAAAAAATTTGTTGACCCCTCTTCTATGATATTGCATTATGTGGATATATAATACAAGCAATTTACTTATTCATTTTCTTGTTGGTTAACATTTGAGTTGTTTTCATTGTTGAGCTGTTAAGAATTAAATTGTGATGAATGTTCTTCAAACTTCCATTTGTAGACATACATCTCTCAGCTATATACCAAGGAGTTGAAATGATGATCTTTGATAGGTTGGTTGTGTTTCCATAAACATTCATAATGTTGAACATCTTAAAATATCTCAATTGGCCATTTAGATTTCTTTTGTGGCATGCTTACTGAAATATTTTGCTCATTTTAAAAAATTAGATTATCTTTTTAGTAATGATTTTTAGTTCCTAATCTAATCTGGATAGGAAACATTTGTTGGGTACATGTTTGCAAGTATTTTCTACCCTGAAGTTTGCCCATTTATTCTCTTAATATTACCTTTTGAGGAGCGGAATTATTCCTATGAAGCTTGGTTCATCAGGATTTAGGAGTGGGGAAAAGGGGAAGGGAATGGAAGTTAGTGCTTTTTTGCATCCTACCTAAAAAAAATTTCTTCCCACCCACATATTTTCCCACTCTCAAGGTTTTGAAGACATTTGCCTTTGTTTTCCTCCAGAAGCTTCACAGTTTTAGCTGTTGGGTCTGTGATTATCACCAGTTGATTTTATGTATGGTGTGAGGTAGGGATCAAGATGTATGTTGTATTCTATATGGACATTTGTCTACTCTACACATTAATTGAAAAAAAAAAAAAAAACAAACAAACAAAAAATACATGCCATTCTTTTCCCATTGAATTGCATGGACTTTGTTGAGAAATGAATGGTCATATATTTGGGTCTGTTTCTGGACTCTATTCTGTTCCACTTGGACTAATTATCCATTCTTGTATCACCTATACTTTTTTAATTACTGTAGTTTATGGTAAATCTTGACATGGTACTGTAAACCCTCCAAATTTGTTCTAAAACAACTGTTTTAACTATTAAAGTGCTTTGCATTTCCATATAAATTTCAAGATGTGCTTGTCAATGTCCATTAAAAAAAAAAGTCTTCCCACAATACAAATACAATACATTGTTTTGTATTTTTGGTGTAGAGGACTTACCCATTGTTTAACTTATTTCTAGGCATTTAATGTTTTGTGATGCTGTTGTAAGTGGTGCAGTATTTTTCCCCCAGTTTTATTTTCCAAACATCTTGCTAGCATAGGGTAATAAAATTGATTTTTATATATTGATCTTGTATTTTGTACCTTTGCTAAATTTACTTATAGTTCTGATAGTATGCAGATTTGGGTTTTTAGTTTGTTTGTTTTTTTAGAATGCACTGTCATGTCATCTGAAAAAAAGTTTAAATATGCCTTTACAATTTCTATTCTCTTTTTCTCCTTTTCTTGCCTTATTGCACTAGCTGGGACCTCTAGAACAATATTTAACAGAAGTATTAACAATGGATAGCCTTACTTTTTCCTCATCTTAAGGGGAGAATACCTCAACATTTCACTATTAAGGATGATATTTACTGTACTTTTTTTTGTAGATGCTGTTTACCAGATTGAGGAAATTTTCTTCTGTTTCTAGTTCATTGAGAATTGCTTTCACAAATGAGTACTGAATTTTCAGATTCATTACATTCTGAAATAATTTTAGATTGACAAGAATTGCAAAGATGGTGTAGTGTTTTTGTATACCCTTCACCCAGTTTCCTCTGATGTTAACATCTTACATAACCCTTGTAAAGTACCAAAGTTAAGAAATTGACATTGGCACAATAGTGTTAATGAAACTATAGACTCTATTCAGATGACCACAGTTTTCCCCTCTAATGTTCTTTTTTTATTTCAGGATCTAACCCATATACCACATGGCATTTAGTTTTCATAACTTTCTCGTTTACTCCAATCTGTGACAGTTTCTTAGTCTTTCATATATTGTCACTTTAGAGGAGTCATGTGTTTTGTAAAATACACCTCAGGCTGGGCATGGTGGCTCATGCCTGTAATCCCAGCACTTTGGAAGGCCGAGGAGGGCAGATCACGAGGTCAAGAGATTGGGACCCTCCTGGCCAGCATAGTGAAACTTCATCTCTACTAAAAATACAAAACTTAGCTGGGCATGGAAGCACACACCTGAAGTACCAGCTACTCGGGAAGCTGAGGCAGGAAAATCGCTTGAACTCCTGAGGCTGCAGTGAGTCAAGATCATGACACTGCATTCCAGCCTGGTGACAGAGTATGAGACTCTGCCTCAAAAAAAAAAAATGTACCTTAATTTGGATTTATTTGATGTTTTCTCAGAATTAGACTGAGATTATGGATTTTGAGAGAATAATACTGCAGAGCTGTTGTGCCCTTCCCATTGCATCACTTATGGCAGCATTATGATGACCACATCAACTGATGATGAGAACTTCGATCACGTGGCAAGATGGGGTCTGCCAAGGTTTCTTATTGGCACATTACTTTTTTCCCCTTTCCATAGTCTGTTTGTTAGGAGAAAGTCCACAGTCAAGAAAAGGGAAGGGTATCAAATAATTTGTGGATATATGTTAAAACCACAACAGTGATTAATATTTTGAGGTAGTACAAATATTCTATTTCTCTTTAATGTTTTGCCCAGCAATTTTAGTGTTCAATGGATCTTGCCTGTAGCAATTATTATTATGGTATTCTAATGGTGATTTTCCATTTTCTTTTTTGTTTCTACATTGGTTAACAGGAAATCTTCTCTAAGTAAAATTGGCCCCTTTTCTCCCATTGATTTATTATTCAGTCAGTTATTTATATCCATGTATATTCATGGATGTTTGTTTTAATCTTTGAGCTATAGTCTAATATCATTTTTATATTGCTTAAACTTTGGCATTGGGACTTTTTTCAGGTTGGCTCTTTTGTCTTTTTGAAATGTCACCATTTAAAAAAAAAGTTAATTGTTTACCATTTCCTTACTGTTTGGCACTACGAGATGCTCCAGGTTCATTTAGTATTTTCCCTTCCTCAGCCTTAGAATCAGCCATTTCTCCAAAATGTCTTGATTCCTTTTATTAGAGGATGGTATTAGAAACCAAGATCTGTGTGCTTAGGTGTCCTTGCTGCTACTGAGCTGCTGCTATTTCTTGGCCCTCTGGGGACAGAGCTAGTGATTATATGTATGTATACTGGATTTTTAATTTTGTCAAATGATTTTTCTGCATCTATTGAAATTATGACTTTTCTTAATTTGATGGCATGAAAAATTATAAATATCTGACATTTTAAAGGATGTTTTTCCAGTATTCCTTAGAGCTTTGCAATTATTACAAGGTTTTGTTTGTTTTAGAATATCTAGCTTTCCATATTGCCTGAACAAATCTTCCTAAGATAACTCTATAATGATTTTGATATGTCATAGGGAACAAACCTTCTTTTTTCTTCTTAATTGTTTGGCTATTTTGGGACCTTTTCTAGTCCATACAAGTTTTAGTACCTACTTATAAAGTTTCCCGAAAAGTACTGTTGGGATTTTTATAGAAATGGCTTTGAATTTATAGATTAATATAAGAAAAAAGGGCATATTTGCAATATTCCATTTTTTCATTTATCTCACATGCCCTTTTTGTGTCCTTCAATGATATGATATAAAGGACTTGTACATATTTTGTGACATTATTTCTAGGTCCTGATGATTTTTGTTACTACTGTGAATAATTTCTCTTAGTTTCCTGTTTTCTAACCAGCTAGTTATTACTTCATAAATAATATTATATTTTTCACTTACATAACTAAATAATTTGCAAGAAATGATTTTTTCCTTTTCCTTCTGATCTTCATATATCGTATTCTTTTGCTTGTGTCTAATTTCACTGGCCAGGATCCCCAGTACAATGAAGAATAGTGGTGCTGATGATGGGCATTGTTTTGTTCCTGACTTGTCTGAGAATACTTCTGTGGCACTGAAGCTTAGTATGATGTTGTTGCTGGATGTTTAAAGTTCTCTTCTTCTAGTTCTCTCAGAGTTTTGTATCATAAATTGTATTGGATTTTATTATTTTTTTTTCTGAATCAACTGGACTCTGAAGCCAGATTGCTTGTATTCAATTCCTAGTTCTGCTTTTCTGCTGCCATATAATATAATCTTAGGCAGTTACTTCTCTGTATTTCAGTTTTCTCATCTGTAAAATTTAGGTAAAAGTGTCTACGTATAAGGTTGTTGAGAGAATTAAATGAGTTTATACATAAAAAGGGGTAAGAATTGTGCC